TTATTCAAATAAACTTAATTTAAGCACTTTTGAATAGTCAACATTTTTTTAAATCTACCGCTTAGAAAGCTGTCTCATCACAAGAAGAATAAACAAGAAACTTGTGTGTTGCTCTTTTTCCTTGTAAGTTCACATTTTACAAGTCGAAACGTGTGAATACAAACTACCAACCAGCACTAATTTATTTAGGCTCAAATATAAAAACACAATAAGATTAAATCAGTCGTAGTGATAAGAGTAGACCAGTCCCTACAAGCAGCACTCGTTCACGAGTATGACGGATGAGCCAGCCATCACTGCGCTCGACCATATTTTCAATACACACGAATATTAGTAAGTTACTAATATTCGTATGACATAATTAAGAGATGCCCCCGAATATGTAATATATATTATAACGTGAAAACTGTTTACAATACTTAATCTTATATATAAAATCTCTCGTGTCACAGTTTTCGTTCCCATACTCCTCCGAAACGGCTTGACCGATTCTCATGAAATTTTGTGAGCGTATTTTGTAGGTCTGAGAATCGGCCAACATCTATTTTTCATCCCCCTAAATGTTAGGGGTAGTCCACCCCTAATTTTTTTTTTTATTTTATGGCAAAACAACGTTTGCCGGGACAGTTAGTATTAATATAAATTTATATTACAAAAAGGAAAGATATGATGTTATGTTTGTGACGGATTAAAAAAATACTTAACTGATTTAAAAAAAAATGCTTTAATTACACAAAAATATACTTTATCAATAAACAATATAACATGTAATTTTACAAATTACAAATATAAAATCATTATGGAGTACATTTAAATATTACATTTTGATTTTAAATTACAATCAACAAATAAAACATGTATTGTAAAATTGTCTTTCCTTACAATAAAGACGTGTACAGCTATGCTCTGTGCCCTATTACTCACTTACATTTATAAAAGAAAATAACAAGCATTTCCCGCCAACTTGTGCAACACGTAGTGTTAATAAATAAACACATTGTACCGTTGAATTTCCACTAGCATTCTTACTTGTCCTATCCAAGCCACTCACAACTGATATTTTGTAGTTTATACTCGAATTTATTTATATATATATATATGAATTTATTTATTAGATAGTATGTCGTAAATGTTTACTCTATGTTATCCACCTACATCTATGTATGTATGTGTATTATTATTATATTTATGAAGGTATCCGCAGAATATCAGCGTCGTGGCACCCCGTCACGACATATGCTGAGCGGAGACCTATTTGGTACTATAAAATTAATAATAATGTCTCAAGACAATTCACACAGCGCCATCTAGTCCCAAGCTAAGCAGAGCTTGTGTTATGGGTACTAGACAACTGATATAAATACATGGATACACTTTTTTTTGTAAATAAAGTATATATTATATGTACATACAAAACACCCTGACCGATACAGACAATCATACTCATGAATACAAATGTTTGTGCCGTGCGAGAAATCGAACCCACGACCATCGGATAGTAAAGCGGTGTGCTAAACCACTAGACCACTGAGGCTGTCGGTAATATAAACCTATAGAATGTAATATCAAATTTAAAAATTGTTTTTATTATTGTTATGTACCAAATAAACTATTTTCTTTCTTTCTAATTTTTAGGTTATAAAATTATTTGTTTTCAAAATTACGCACTTTTATTTCTTGACTGGTTTTGTTGGCGACTTCATTCGCGTATTTCATTTACCAGAATATATACTTTAATTATGTCACATATTTTAGTAATTGAAAACAAAATTAATAAGATTTGGCATGGTACTAAACTAAATTTCTTATTATTTAAAAGCCAGTTCATATACAATGTATATCTATATAGGTGTCTATGTCTAACATTAAATGAAAATCCCGTGCATGAACAACTATTGCCATGCACGCTCGTCATTCAAGTAATCGTTTAGTGAATAATAGGCTTTGCTCAGTAAATATGATTTAACAGATGTTTTGAAATCATTTAAAAGTAATTCCAGTATATCCTTTGTTTACTTTTTGTACATTTTATACCCATTATTTTTTTATTTTTAATTAATTTAAAAGTGTTGTAATTCCAGATATATCCTAATATGTTAATTTTTTGTACGTTTATAAATTTTATACCACATAAATATAAATACGCTAAATATACTTGAAAGTACCTACTTAACTCAAATCAACGACAATCAACTCATTCCCAGAAAAATAACAATAATTAACAATTCGGTATACACATTTTTATTTTTAAAATATCAAACGACCGTATTAATGAGTTCTTAATAACATAGGACGTTAACAACACCAATAATTTATAAAAAAAAGTACCAATTTTTGATACGCATTATATTTTTAACAAAGCATCATACTTGTAGTACCTTGGACCTCGTATTTAACAAAAGAGAACAATTAATGAACGTATGAACAGTTATAATAAATGCTCAAGGTTTGACGGATTATGTATGACGGTCTGTATGCTGAACATAATAGGATTATAACGGTGAGCCCGGGTTAAAACGATTAATGAAAATCTATAGGGAACATACTGTTTTGTTTCATAGCAATATAGCTGATATATTTATAGTATGGCCTCATGTAATAAGTATAATTTATGATGGATGGAGTCTAATATTCACACTGTAGCTTCACAGTCTAGTCCAAAACTACTGAACCGATTTATGTATTTATTTATTTATTTACTAGCTGTCCCGGCAAACGTTGTTTTGCCATATAAATTAATAACGCTATAAAAAAATAGGGGTTGATGATAGAAGGGTGAAAATTTAGGATTGTATGTATTTTTCTATGTTGTATCATAAAAAAATAGACTCTAAAAAATTTGTCTAAAAAATTAAAAAAAAAATTTTTGGAGTGGACTACCCCTAACATTTAGGGGGATGAAAAATAGATGTTGGCCGATTCTCAGACCTACTCAATACGCTCACAAAATTTCATGAGAATCGGTCAAGCCGTTTCGGAGGAGTATGGGTACGAAAACTGTGACACGAGAATTTTATATATAAGATTTATTCATAACAATAATTATTGTGTCGAATTTCAAAGTACAAAATTAAATCTAAATCTAAAATAACAATGTCAAAATAATAATAGTAAAATCAATAATAGTAATACCAATAATAATTTCCAAATTGAGTCACAGTAACGGTCAGTCATCAAAAATTTTCGTCTACGGGGTCAAAGTATTTTTTTAATAAATATTTTTTAAGTTTAACTTTGAAATTGTTTTTATAAATATCATCTTTTAAATCAGTAGGCATAGGTGCCATACAAAAATATCATGATTGGTTTTTAAATCATGTACATAGATGGTACAAAAGTCCCTAAAATTAAAAAGAATTTAAAAACAAAAATCACTAGACAATCCATTAAATAGTTTTACAGACTGATAACCTGCACTGTGTTTAACAAACTCTAATCGATTAAATGAAATTTGGTACACAGACATTGCCTTTGCGGCGAGATATTGCATCTCTGTGCATTTTCTACCGCATATATCACGGGGAGTGTTCTGAGGAATTGTTCGGATTAATACCAGCTGCTGAGTTTCACCACTGTACCACCCGCCAGAAACTAAAATACCATCCTGATCATCTGGAGGAACAGTGCGGTTTTCTAGAAACTTTTTGCCACGTACAACCACATTGTGGAATCACCTTCCAGCAATGGTATTTCCGAACCGATACGATATTGAAACCTTCAAGAAAAGAGCTTATTCCTTTTTAAAAGGCCGACAACGTACTTGCAATTCCCCTGGTGTTGCGGGTGCTCATGGGCGGCGGTAATCACTTACCATCAGGTGAGCCGCATGCTCGTTTGTCCCCTGTGTTATAAAAAAAATACAGTCTAGACCCTGAGAAATAATGTAGCTACTTTTTAATCCCAAAAAAGGGTTGTAAGGGGTTGAAAGGAGAGATGTAAGATTGTATTGAAGAATAGTAATTTTTAAAGCTATAAGCTTGACACTTTTTTTAGGTTGTTGATTAAATATAAATAAATATGACATTTAAAGTTTGTAAAAATTGTACCCTTAAGGGTGTAAAATAAAATAGGGGTTGAAAGCTTGTATGGAAATTTGTTATTTTTGAAGCTAGAATGATAAAAACTAGTTTATTTAATTACATATTTAAGTCGCTATTTCAAGGGGATGAAATCGCGGGCACAGCCAGTAAATAATTATTCAAAGGGATGATCTCTTCGACTACTAATTTACTCACTTATTATATGTTTTTTCGTTTTAACGAAGCTCATAAAATTATGACTACTGATCTTCTGCCATATATTCAGATAATCCGCCCAAATTACGATGACGCCGCATTCAGGACGTCAAACGGCAGCGGTATATCAAATTATGCAGGATTATAATACACGTTGAACATGAAAGATTAATGTTAATCTCTTAATGGCTGGGAAATTGAGTTACTTATATCCGTGATGTCCCAATAACTCAGCGAAATGTAGCTGCGCCGAGGGCTGTCTTTCGTTTTCTCGTGTAACTTGTAATATTTTAATGTCAGAGCTCATTACTGATATAATTTTATGAGAAGAACTAGCTTTTGCTAATATAATAAATAAATAATCCCTGGATAATAAACACAGCGCCATCTGGTACCACAGTAAGCAGACCTTGTGCTATGGGTACTAGATAACTGATAGAAATACATATGTATTTTTAGAAGACAAACAGACTGATATACACAATCACACTAATGAATTCAAAATTTTAAATTATTAAACTTAAATTTTTGTAATTTTTGTACCGTGCGAGGAATTGAACCCGCGACCATAACAAGCAAAAAGAGGTTTGTTATGCTTATTATTATAATTACATAGAAAAATATGAATAATTACACGGTTATTCTTCCAAAAATACCATCCATCAACAACCTTCAACAATGCTCTTTCATTATTAGATCAGCGATAACAATTGCAAAGGCCACAACTCTAGTATCTTGTTGCTAATGATGTATGATTGTCTCCAGGTACGGTAGCCCTCACCACTCCAGATCGCAGTCAGTGAAAGCTGCGAGGTCCCGGACTGGGGAGCGCCAACTGCTCGGGTTACCACAGCAGCGGGCTCGAGTGGCTTCCATGCCCAACACTGGAGTCGAGGAAGAATATTACAGACTAAGACACTTCAGCATTACTGGTTAGTGTCGATCACTATTTTGGCTAAATGTATCTGAGGATAGAATAAAATGGACTTCGAGGTGGAAAAGAAACGAAAGGAAGAATCTGATATTTTGTTGTATTTTACCTCTGGACCTCTTGGACCTCTTGTCACAGCTGGTCACAATTTAAGGGAAATGTGTAATGTGTCCATGCTGGACGATCGTGACTACAGTGATACGTCGAAATTTTTTTTGTATATGATAATGGATTGGTGCACCCGCCTGCGCTAACGGTTAACGCTGGCGGGACACCAGTGGAGGATGATAAGATGAACATGAGGTCAGGTCAGTTAGCCCATCGTGGCATATTCACCAGGAATTTATCACGGTGATTTCCGGGACCGCGTGGATCTCAAGCTGACATGGTACCTTGCTAGTAATTGAGTCATGAGTCCACATTACTGACAATCCCCTTTCGCCCCATCATTGTATTTTTACAGGCAAAGGTGTAGTGAACCGCGGCGATTCCTTGCGCTCTAGAAGATCCCGGTCCAACACTTCTGTGGCATCAAGCGCGTCCAGCACTGAAGCTGTCACCAGAGCTTCAGCGCCTTGTTCTCTAGCTTCCTCAAGGTACCAAATTGTATATCATATCGCTATTAACTTATGCTTGCTGATTAACATACAACATTTCGTCAAGTTATCTAAATCTAAATATCTATAACTCAAAGGTGACTGACATAGTGATCTATCAACACACAGCCCAAACCACTGGACGGATCGGGCTGAAATTTGGCATGCAGGTAGATGTTATGACGTAGGCATCCGATAAGAAAGGATTTTGATTAATTCTACCCCCAAGGGGATAAAATAGGGGATGAAATTTTGTATGAAACTTTGTCAATTTTAAACCGATCGGGCTGAGACTTTTAATGCATAAAGCTACTATGACGTAGTCATCCCCTAAGAAAGGATTTTGTTGAATTCCACTCCTAAGGGGATAAATTAACGCGAAGCCGCGGGCAAAAGCTAGTTCTACATACAACCGGTCGATACGTTATTATACATTTCCTTTTTTTATGTTATTGATAACAAAACAATATAAAGAAAAAATGGAAATTTCTATTTCAATATAATAATTTCTTTAAAATCAGGCGGGAAAACTTCACTGCGAATGCTAATATATGGATATTTCTGTTTCAATATAATAATTTCCTTAAAATCATCAATCAATTAATAAAATCCGTATTGTAACAGGGACTCGTCAGCAGGTCTGAGTGCTTATAGAGTGTTAGTGCTGGGAGCTCCAGGAGTCGGGAAATCGAGTTTAGTTGGACAATTCATGACATCAGAATACTTACACGCATACGACACCAGTATAGGTAAGAATTATACATATATATATCTATAGACATCTGCATCCTCATCATCTGCTTCTTCCTTATCCCATTTATTTGTGGTCGTCTCTTCCATTCATCCCTGTTCACAGTCATCTCGTTATATACTTCCTTTCTTACCATATCATCTTTCACACAGTCCATCCATCTCTTTTTCGGCCTTCCTCTGCCCTTATAACCATCCACATTCATATGTAACACCTTTCTTAAAATATTATCCTCATTCCTACGCATTACATGTCCATACCATACATACATATAATTATAAATTCAAATTCAAAAATAATTTATTCTTGTAGGACATTTTAGCCGCTTCACCATCATCATCTGCTTCTTCCTTATTAAAGTTATTTGTGGTCGGCGTAATATGTTTTTCTCTTCCATTCATCTCTGTTATTTATAGTAGAAATTCAACCATAATTAATTTAAATTATAAGTTTGAAACATTATAAAGGTCCTATCGTCAAAGACTATACTTCAGTTTGAGAAATGTTTCAAATGAATATCCCTGGACAATTCACTCAACGCCATCTAGTGCCAAGCTAAGCAGAGCTTGTGTTATTTATTTATTGATTCTTTTGCACACAAAAATGTATACATGACGGACTTAATGCCTGATGGCATTATCTACCAGTCAACCGTCGCGTTGAGCAGAGATAGTGTGGCGGTGCAATTTTACATATATATATATATATACAAATGATTTCATGACATATATCTTCAGACAGTGGTTTGTGTGTTCACACAAACCATTGCTACAGGAATTTCGAGTAGTTTTCACGCATGAATCTCTTTAAGGAAAATTTGGTTAGACATATTCTTAGGCCAACAGAAAGTGCATTTCAAAGATTAATAGTAGAGATAGTGAAGGATTGAGAGGAGAAGGAGTATATAGCAGGAGATTAGAAGATGAGAGAAGATTACGAGAGTTGGTTACGTGTTCTCTTGGTCTGACACATGCTAATGATAGCGGACTTACAAAACAAAATAAATGCATCAAGTGAAGTGAAATTGAATTCATATTGGAGAAAAATATTATTAAAGAAATCAACACGTATTGGTAGATATTTGTAAAATTGTAATACAAAATGTAGAGTGACGGTCGACGTCAAATGTTAGAAATCATTGGGATTACGTGCTACAACAATATACTCACTTTCGTTGGCAGACGGATAAAATAGAAAACATTTTATAACTAACTACTCTTTCCCACTTTTCACGGATGCATTACAAATCTTTAAATTTCTCGACTTGTTCTATACTATAACATTCATATATTATACATATAAACCTTCCTCTTGAATCACTCTATCTATTGCTGAAAACTGCATTAAAATCTATTGCGTAATTTAAAAGATATACGCGAACAGACAGCGGTTGAACTTTGTTTTATACTATGTAAAAAAGTGTATTTTTATTACAAAATGTTTCCTACATAATCCGAGTATATCCGTATACGCCTGGCTATCCAGTTTATTTGTTTTTATACCGGACCGGGTACTAATTACATGTAAGAAATGCTATCAGGTGTGAAATTTCTCAAGCATCTTAACTATATACCTGATTCTATGTATATTATGTATGCATTTACAAAAAAATATATCGATGTATTTATATCGGTTGTCTAGTACTCATAACACAAGCTCTCCTTACCATGGGACACCCCTCCCATCGATCCCCCGTCCAATTCAAACGGGGATCGATATTACGACGGCCTGAGCCGAGGTTCCAACCTGGGCTCCAAGGCTGGAGAGGCTATCTCCAGCCTTGGAGATAGCCTCTCCAGCCGCTCCATAAGTCCTTCCTTTGGTTTGTAGTGTCATCTGCACTCGCCCCCTATCGTCCGATAAAGCTGTAAAGGCCAGCTGCGGCCAACAGCATTAGAGTAGTCCGATAAAAACCATGGGACTAGATAGCGATGTGTTAAATGTCCAGGGTTATTTATTTAGACATTATTTTACATATTATATATAGAAAACACCCAGACCGATACAAACAATTATACTCACGTATACAAATGCTTGTGCCGTGCGTGGAATCTAACCCGCGACCATCGGACGTAAAGCGGTTTTTTAACTTTTAGGTCGTTATTACATCATCGATGAATCATGGTGAGAGGACCCTCCGAATACTGAACATTGTGTACATAACCCAAATCTTTATTGCCAAACTGAAGAGAATAGCCACTACACGTCCTATGTCTTGGACTCATGCATAAACGTAATATCTCCTTTGACCTATCCTGAGTTGATAAAAACCATCGCTTTTGTATCCCATTTGAAATTAGCGAACTCTGATAGAGACTATGTGGACAGTCCAAACTCTAGATCAATAGATCAAGGCCCAAATAAAAAAATTCAAAAATCATTTATTGTACATTAGTAAGTTTATTAGATTTAGCCGCTTATGAACGTCAAATTTTTACATTCTAATTTTATTATCTTATGTTATCTGGAAAGGTACTAATAGAAGGGTCTTGAGTGTTGAAGTGTAGGCACATCAATACATATAAATCAAATTGGATTGTCTGTTTGTAATATTGAATTAACCGTTTTTTACTACATGCATATGAATATACAACAAAATAATATTTATTAAAATTTTTATTTGTCTGTGTGTCTGTCTGTTTGTTCCGGCTAATCTCTGAAATGGCTGGACCGATTTTGTCAGGACTTTTTTGGCAGGTAGCTGATGTAATAATGAGTAGCTTAAGCTACTTTTATTTTAGAAAAATAGTTAAATTCAACGCGGACAAAGTCGCGAGAACAGCTAGTTGTTAATAAGACATTAATTTTATGTTATTACAGATGATGAATCTGGCGAGAGGTCCGTTTGTGTTTTATTGGCTGGTGAAGAGTCTGAAATCACATTCTTGGACTCGCCTCCTGACCACGTGGTTGTAAGTATTTTGTTCCATTTGAAATTACACTCCACTAGACAACTGATATAAATACAAACATATATTTTCGTAAATACATAAATATTATAAATAGAAAACACCCAGACAGATACAAACAATCATACTCATGAATACAAATGTTTGTGACGTGCGAGGAATCGAACCCGCGACCATCGGAAGTAAGGCTAGGCTACACTACTGGACCACCGAGGTGGTAAATAAATAAATAAGTAAATGAGATTTATTTCTTGCTTATTTAATTTATAATTTAATTATGGTGTTAGTAAATAAATGTTTATTTATGTAACTAGATAAATATACGTTTATTTATTTTGTTGTATATTTATTTATTTGTACACATTACATCAATGATTGTAGACAAGACAATTAACAGCAATCCCTGCACTAAGCTCAAGAGTTGTGTCGCAGGATTTATCTCTATATTTTAGTTTATAATTATTTCATTATTGACTATTAAAAAAATAATAATTGTTTTCTAGTCTGAAGGCTGCGCACATGGTTACTGCGTGGTCTACTCAACAGCTGACAGGAGCAGCTTCGGCGAAGCAGAGCGGAGGCTGCAAGCGCTGTGGGCAGCAGGACATACCTCCCGCCGCGCAGTCATATTAGTTGGGAATAAGGCAGACTTGGCCAGGTCGAGGGCTGTACCCACAGATGGTAAGAAAACTTCATCTTGATCCTTACTAATATACTAATTATAAATGTGAAAGTAGGTATGTTTGTTACGCATTCACGCAAAAACTACCGAACCGATCATCATGAAATTTTGTGCACATGTTCTTAAAGTTATTAGAATGAACATAGGATACCTTTTATTTAAAAAAAACAAATATTTTTTTATATAAAACAAAAAAAAACAACATTTTGCTTTTTATATATGCAAGCGAAACTGGGGGTAATAGGTAGTAATATTATAAAGTTTGTGAGTATGGATGTTTGTTACTCTTTCACGCAAAAACTACTGAACGGATTTTGATGAAACTTTACATTAATGTAGCTTATATAACAGAATAACACATAGGCTATAATATAAAAAGATATTATGTAAATTGGGCAAAATATAATTATGAACGTTAAGTAAGTGTGATGCAGACGAAGTTATAATTTTCTCGTGTTTGTATTAAATTCAAACTCAAAAATAATTTATTCATGTAGGACATTTTAGCCGCTTATGAACGTCAAATTTTATGTAATTAATATTTTTTTCTTACCGTCCAGTTCTGTATATAAATTCAATTCAAATTTAAATTCAAGAATATTTATTCATGTAGGATATTTTAGGCGCTTATGAAACGTTCATAAAGTTTTTTGTGTTAATATTTTTGTTCTCTGCCGTTCAGTTCATTATACAGATGCAATTGAGAAGAACTGGCAAGAAACTCAACTAATTTTGTTTTTTTTTTAGTTTACGGTATTTTATGTACCTACGCGTCGGTTCGCCAGTTTATACACAATGCTATTTTATATTGGGGTTGCCATTCTGCAATAGTGTTACCATATCACTTAAATATATAACAGACTTGACAGACAAAGTGATAGATGGTGTAACAAATTCACCCGACAAGCGAAGAGTTTCTCCCAATACAAGTTCATATTGTTACCGCTATTATTTATGTTTGTATTTGTAATGTAGCAGCAGCAGGAAAGGAGATGAAGTGATAAGTCCAATGATTGTTATTTACATTATGTATATTTTGAAAAACCGCTTTACGTCCGATTAATCCTCACACGGCACAAATATTTGTATTCATTAGTATGATTGTTTGTATCGGTTTGGGTATTTTCTATGTATAATATGTATGTATTTACGAAAAAAAAATTATCTATGTATTTGTATCAGTTGTCTAGTACCCATAACACAGCTTAACTTGGGTCTAGATGGCGCTGTGTGAATTGTCCTGAGATTATTATTATTATTTTTTTTTTTTTTCCAAAAATTCTCATTTCTCCTCTTAAGGAGAGGAGATGGCAGATTATTATTATTATTAACAAAATATTTACAATGAATATATATACAAGAAAGGTGATTCGGTCCCAAATGACAAGCTTGTTATTCTTCTTGCCCCATCATAACTAGGCAACGGTGTTGCCGCACGATGATAGTACATTCGCCACAAGACTAACTGACTCGCGCAACTTCGCCTGCATACTTATATTTCGCCCGATTTACATAATATCTTTTTAAATTATAGCCCCTGTGTTATTCTAAGTCATAAGCTATATTACTGTAAAGTTTCATCAAAATCTGTTAACTAGTTTTTGCATGAAGGAGTAATAAACATCCATCCATATTCACAAACTTTCGCATTTATAATATTAGTCATATAGAATTATAATATTTATAAAAGGAAGATAAAAGCAATATCTACCTAGATTTGGTATGTGCGTGTACATAAACGACTAGATAAAATGAGACTATAAATAGGTGTGTGTGTTAAAAATAAATGTTATTACGTTCATATTTCATATTTTCCTTAACGACAATTATTCTTAGCGGAAATGTTTATTTCCTCCCTGGCGAACTTGATGTTCTTGAATAATATTTCCGCTTCATTAACATCTCTGAATGATTTTTCCAATAACAAGCGCCGTTTATGTGATTTATTCGTAATGTTTGCAAGTAGAATTTAATATAGCCTAAATATATAAAAGCGCCTGTAAAAAATCGATTAGCAAAGACGTCTGTAAACATAATAGTGCTCAAACAAAACTTGTAGGCTCTTGAAACCAATTTTCATTTTGTTTCGCCTGTGTAACCTTTAATAATGAATTGTGAGAGTAATTTTAATGTATAGCCTACAGCGCTATTGGATCACAGACTTTAATTTATATATCAACTCAGACGCCCATGTTGGTTTAGCGGTTGTACATTGACTTACTTTCCCATTTATTTACACAATATATTTTTTGGTCCATATGTTTGTATATTTTTATATAGGTCTTTGCTCATAAATTACGCCAGAAATTAAAATACCATCTTGTTTTTCAGTCCGCCATTACCATCTTGATAAATGCACCGTCTTGGTCCGTATGTTTCTGAATAACTTTTTGGCACATTGTGGAATCAATTGCCAGCAACTGTATATCATCCAAACTGACTTTTAAATAATAAAAAAAACAATTGACTTTCGTGCCAGTTCTTCTCTACTGTATCTGTGCACTAAACTGGACGGTAGAAACAAAATATTAACACAAAAAACTTGAAGTTCATAAGCGGCTGTAATGTTCTACATGAATAAATTATTTTCGATTTGATTGGATACGATATTGAAACCTTCAATTTAAGAGCTTATCACTTCTTAAAAAGTCTCCAACGCACTTGCAATTCCCCTGGTGTTGCGGGTGCTCATGGGCGGCTGTCATTACTTACCATTAGGTGAGCCGCAAGCTCGTTACGCTCTATGCTACAAAAAGAATTACATTAAACCTTTTTATTTTGTATAGTCACTAGCTACTCGCCCCGGCTTCGCCCGGGTGTACATGTATTCTATATATAAACCTTCCTCTCTAATTACTACTACTTCGAATTACTCTATCTATTAATAAAACCGCTTCAAAATCCGTTGCATAGTTTTAAAGATTTAAGCATACGACGTACTCGGTGGACTAGCGGTCTAGCACACCGCTTTACGACCGATGGTCGCGGGTTCGATTCCTCGCACGGCACAAACAATTGTATTCATGAGTATGATTGTATCGGTCTGGGTGTTTTCTATGTATAATAAGTATGTATCTACAAAAAAAATATCTATGTATTTGTATCAGTTATCTAGTACCCATAACACAAGCTTTAGCTAGCTTAACTTGGGTCTAGATGGCGCTGTGTGAATTGTCCTGAGATTATTATTATTATTATACATAGGGACAGACAGCGACAGCGACTTTATTTTATACTATGTAATGATTAAACGTACCTATATTCAGAAGGTTTAAATTAAAGGCAAATTACGAGTGGGTAATTGTATTAGTACGATTGTAATTAATGTTTTTGATCTGAAACATAAGCATAATCGTCAGCACTCAGTCGAAACAAGTTATTACAAGTAATTCGTGATCTTCAAACACCAATGTCATTGAGACAAATGTGATTGAAGTTGATAATCCAAATATGTTATCATCACCCAAATTATCATTAACATTTAAAAATGAATCTGTTATGTATGTAAACATGTACAACATTTATTTGAAAAGAATACGAGCTGAGTTTCTTGTCAGTTCTTCTCATCTCTAAATCATTCCGAACTGACGGTAGATTTGACATATCATAAGAGTCTGTAATAGACCTACATGAATGAAGATATTTTGAATTTTAATAATAATAAACTTGGACAATTAACACAGCGTCATCTAGACCCAAGTTAAGCTAGCTAAAGTTTGTATTATGGGTACTAGATAACTGATATATATACATAGATATTTTTTTTTTGTAAATACATACATATTATACATAGAAAACACCAAGACCGATACAAACAATCACACTCATGAATACAATTGTTTGTGCCGTGTGAGTAATCGAACCCGCGACCATCGGTCTTAAAGCGGTGGATACTAGACAACTGATATAAATCTCAGATATTTTTTTGTACATACATACATAATATACATAGAAAACACCGTGATCAATACAAATAGTCATACTCATGAATACATATGTTTGGACCGTGCGAGGAATCGAACCCGCGACTATCGGAAGTAAAGCTGTGTGCTGCTAAACTGCTAGACCACCGCGGATGTAATCTACCACAAGATACTTTCGACGGGTTCGATCCTCGCGCGGCACAAACATTTGTATTCATGAGTATGATTGTTTGTATCGGTCTGGGAGTTTTCTATGTATAATATGTATGTATTTACAAGAAAATATATCTATGTATTTGTATCTGTTGTCTAGTACCCATAACACAAGCTTTAGCTAGCTTAACTTAGGTCTAGATGACGTTGTGTGAATTGTCCTGAAATATTATTATTAAAAAAAATGTGATGACTATTCAAAAGTGCTTTAATTAAGTTTATTTGAATAAATGATTTTCTATTCTATTCTACCCCACTTCACTCCATTCTATTCTAATTTATTCTATTCTATTCTATTCTATTACAGAGGGCAAAAGCCTAGCCACGTCGTACGAGTGCAAATTTATCGAGACATCAGTGGGTATCAACCACAACGTCGATGAACTGCTAGTGGGGCTCCTGACGCAGATCAGGCTGAAACAGCAGCATGCTGAGAGGGTCAGGTTGGTACACAAGTTCAATCAAAACTGTATAATAACTTGTGGTCGAAATTCGACTATAATTTTAACATTCAGTAAGACTATAGATAAATAATATTAAAGACAAACAATATTAATCTATTCCCAATTTGACCACAAACTTTATCTATACATATAAATAAAATTGGAGTGTCTGTTTGTAATATTGAAATAATCGTTTTTACTAAGTACATGCATATGAATATAAATACGGTACATACACCAAAATAACATTTTTTTCAATTTTTATTTGTCTGTCTGTCTGTCTGTTTGTTCCAACTAATCTCTGAAATGGCTGGACCGATTATGACGGGACTTTTTTTGGCAGGTAGCTGATATAATAAGGAGTAACTTAGGCTACTTTTATTTTAGAAAAATGAAGTTAAATTCCACGCGGACGAAGTCGCGTACAGCTAGTAAGCAATAAAATCAATGTACATAATTTATAGAAAACGCAGCGGATCCCGCAAGAATCGCAGTCGGACGAGATCACCAATGGACACAGAGACGCCAGCACCACCCGTGCCGCCACCAGCCACTGCATCTGCTGCCAGCACTCCCAGGAAGAGGACCAGGCTATCAGCCAGTGTTAAGGTAACAAATATAGATTTATACATTTTGTAAAAACTTGTCTGCATCTGTACCTCAGTCTCACCTATTTCAGCCGCCAAACAGCTTGCTTTGTAAGCTCTGTTTTGGTTGTATGATCAGCCATTGTTAAGGTTTGTGCCTATATATATAGATACATACACTTTGTAAAAACTCGTCTGCTTGTGTACCTTTTCACCTATTTGAGTCGCCGAGCAGCTTGCTTTGTAACATGTGTTTCGGTTGCATGATCAGCCAGTGTTAAGGTTTGTGCCTATATATATGGATAGACAGACTTTGTAAAAACTCGTCTGCTTGTGTACCTTCTCACCTATTTGAGTCGCCAAGCAGCTTGCTCAGCAAGCTGTGTTTCGGTTGTAAGGTGCAGATTAAACAGTGAAATTACAGGATTCTCACCTATTTCAGCTTCGGATATATTTTGTAAGCTGAGTTTTGGTTGTAGAGACGTGACATCTTAGACCTCTCGAATGGCAATGCATGCGCAAAATTACAGGTGTCATATAACCATTGTAGAAATAGAAATAGAAATAGAAATAGAAATAATCTTTATTCAAATAAACTCATTACAAGCACTTTTGAATAGTCATATTTTGATTCTACCACTCATTCGGAATGCAGATTCATCACAAGAAGAATGAGCAAGAAACTTGTGTGTTGCTCTTTTTAATAGATGTTTTTTTTGTTCGGTAATTTCATTTTAGCACGTACTATAATATATTGTGCCAGTGTATGTTGGATAAGTCACTTTATCTAACGTCACGTAACTCATGTAGTGTTTAATATAAATAGTCTTAGTAACTGGTGTAGAATTAGAGTAATTCAAGATGTAACAGCTAATACACAAGTCCCAACCCTACTGTGTGTATGTTTACTTTCACCATCGATCCTGTTATCATAAATGATTTGTGCAGTGTACATGTATATAGAAGACGATTACCACTTACCATAAGTTGGGCCGTCAGCTTGTTTGTCATTTTTTTTCAAACTATTCTAATGCTGTTGGCCGCAGCTGCCTTTACAGCTTCATCGGACGATAGGGGGCGAATGCAGATAGCACTCCAATCTTGTGGAAGGACTTATAGATCGGCTGAAGGCCAACTCCCGTTTGACGTATACGACTTTAGTCTCAGGGTACAGGTAGAGGTTCAAACCTAGACTCGGGTCATTGTAATTCCGATCCTCGGGTGACCAGGAGAGCTGGTGTGGAGCGACCAGTCGGGCGTAGGCGCATAATAATTGCGCTAGATGGTGTGGTTGAGATCTATCTCTAGGGGTACGAACCTCGAAAATTTGAATCCCCGGTTGACCAGAGGTGCTGCTGAGCGCCTAATCGCGCGCATTGCCCAATGATAGCGCTTGATGGTGTGGTTGAGGTCGTCGTCCTCTCCGGCGAGGACGGTGTCGTGTGTTTGTGTGGAAATTACCCTAAAAATTTATATTTTGTAACAAAACTCCACAGGTCCGTGGCTTGCTCGGGCGTGTCTGGGCGCGAGATTCGAAGTCCAAATCCTGCGAAAACCTTCACGTCCTCTAGCACTCAGTCGCCGAGCCCGTCGCCTGCTTCCCATTCTTTGATTGCGCAGCTGATTATGCCTGAACCAATTTCGCTGAAGTATCTGAAAGAAACCTAACAGAGAGATGATTAGTTCTTACAAAGTCGATATCCTAAAATTTAAGACTCATTTAGCATTAATTGTTCCTTTTTAAAAGGCCTGCAACGCACTTTATTTCCCTTAGTATTGCGGGTGCTTAGGAACTCTTGCACAAAATTCTCAAAGTCGATTTTCTAAAATTTTTCACTATTTAGCATTTATATAATTCTCTATTTAAAGACTGACATAGCAGTTTCAATTCTCCTGTACTTGAGAGTACTCATGGGCACCGGTAATCACTCATCATCAGGTGAGCCGCAGGCTCGGTCCCCTATGCGATATGATAATAGTAAAAATCAACAAGACAATTTAGTGTAGCCACAAATTAATAATTACATAGTCTAGTTACGGCCACTGATTAGACTAATTCAATTTGACGAATTGCAATAGAAAATGCTGGTGGTCACTCTATCCTCCATAATTAATTTAAAAATTAATCTGCATTTTTGCAATGCACAAGCTCATTTCAAAGAATAAGAGCTGAGTTTCTCGTCAGTTCTTAGCTCGAATGTATTCCGAACTGACGGTTTTGACATATCATAAGAGTCTGTAATAGATCTACATGAATAAAGATATTTTTAATTTACTTCTTCACAATTGTAATTACAGTTTTGGCAATATAAACTCTCTGTCAGGTTTGTTTTGGACGAAAATAAATGCTTCTATATAATATGTATATTATTACTAAACATTATATTATAATATATAACGAAACTATATGTATATTCAGTTTCGTTTTGTTAACATATATAATCGAATAAATATTTATTTATATAATTTATTTATTCTTTATTGAACAATAAACATTTGTCAGACTAGCTTAATGCCGTATGGTATTCAGTCCCAACTAACTTTAAATATACAATAATAACTTAAATAGACGAATTAATAATATACATATATATGTACGTACGATATTGAATGTTATGATATATGATAGTGAAGTCATTCACAAATATATATTATAGTTTGCTTGTTAAACATACATTTTGAGTTACGTACATATATATTATGTATCTATACAATTACTGTACTTTATAATTAATGCTCTTAAATGCGTGGATTCCAATTAATTATAAATAAATATTTAATTAAAATAATAAATATAATTTAATAATTAAATAATTTATTTCCATTTATCAAAAATTACATATTTGTATTTTCTGTTCCTTTTTTATACACAAATCTGAACAGATGCACATATATAAAATCTGTATATATGTGCATCTGTTGATGTCAATGAAGGAAACATCTATTCGTAATTACGAATTTTATTGTTTTGGGGTCCACGTAAATATAATAGCTATATTGAACACAATATTATGTGACTAATACAATTAAACTATATTATTAAATTAGCTATTTATATGTTATTATAAATTTTATTATCTGTGCTTAATTTGTGCTAAAAAGACTATATAAATTGCGAGGGCTCGGTGTTAATATTATAATATATTAACATACATAATTATAATTATTAATAAAAAAGATTTACATTAAAAAAAACATAATATTAATAAATATATCGAGATTGATAACGATCAGAAGTTATGTATTGATAGAAAGTTTGCTAAAGTTAGAAGATCATGGAATTTGCAACGAGAATGTTTTATACAAAATTATACTTACGTTGACTATTTGTATGGCTTATTTTATTTTTACCGTAGCTATGATAAATAAATAAATTAGAAATAATTTATATAATTATTTAGTAATAATAAACACAATTTTATAATTAATTAATTATTAATTATAAAATATCGTTTCGCATTTACATTACTTTATGTTAATTATAAGTAATTTTTAAATTAATATAATTATTATTTTAATGTTTAATGAATACTAATTACTAATTAAATATAATTATAATTAACAATTAATTTTTATACATTTACATAAAACTTGCATTGTAGTTGACGGTAAAAATAAAATACTTTGTTATACAATAATATTTACGTTGTAAACAGTTGATGAAAGTGATAACTCTTAAATTAAAACACCAAGAAATCTTTGATAAAGCAAAATGTTTAGGTATTTTTGAAGAAATCTCTGGTTTAATCCCACTCAGTATAAGTGTACAAAAAACTATTAGAAAGTCTTTTTTTGGGTACTTACACAGTGTGAAATATTTGTATATCAATGTTTGTATTTGTGGCAGCAATGATATCTTAATGAATATGTATTATTAAATACATATACCATAATAAAATAATGTCCATGCAAACTTTGGAAGAAATGACGAGTTCGTACGCGTGATTTTTACCTTTTTCTTTATTAATGTATAATGCCTTGTGTACTTTCATATGTATTTAGCGAATATCTTTTAGTTGAAAAAAAAAATTATATATTTATATGATATCTTTTAGTTTGAAAAAACAAAAATTTATTTGTATGCTAACAGGTCTGTAAAATACAACTGAAAAACAACATTATCTAAATTCGTTCTATGTTTTTATTCTGGTCTAAATCACTTGATGACGATATAAGGTAAAATCAGACGCTGTATAAGTCCTTCCGCGGATTTGGAGTGCCATCTGCACTCGCCCTCTATCGTCCGGTGAAACTGTAAATGCCAGCTGTGGCCAACTGCAATAGAGTAGTCCGAAAAAAAGTTTATGTACATCAGGAGAGTCTTACCTAGTTTGCTATTCCAATTGGTTCAAATATTTGTCAAGATATCATTGTCTGAAGGCATGTCTGGAACATAGCGTGCTGATAGTGGAAATGCAATATTGTAGAAGGATTTTTGTAAACGTCTTGACGATTTTTAGAGACTCTGAGTATTATATCGTATAACGGATGGATAGTGTAACAATTATATATGTGATCCTAGTGTGTCTCCCCTATAGTGGCATAGTATTAACTAGTAATTTTATATATGGTAACAATTCATGTATTGTCATGTTAGTTTGTATGGATATAATGTTTTTTATGTAACAATATTTAAATTGATATGAAATGTTTAAATGTACTGGAATATATGTGTTGTCTTTGCAATTCAAGAAAGGATGATCGATCGTTTAATCTAATATTAAACTTGTTTGCGGAACTCGCAAATAGTTCCGCAAAGTAAACTAGATGGCGCTGTCTCATGTAATAGTAAGCTCTACTTTGCAGTAGCGAGATAATGTCTATAAAACATCTACGTAACGAATAACATTAACACAAGCCGGAGTTGATCTTCAGCTGCTCCATAAATCCTTCTCATAGTTTGGAGTGCTATCAGCACTCCCCTATATATCGTTCAAAGAAGCTATAAAGGCCAGATGCGGTCAATAGTATTGGAATAGTTCGGAAAAATATAACATCGACCTAAAAAGAACATTCGAAATAAGATCCGATTTTAAAAATATCGAAACCTAAAATTATATGATAGGAATATCGATATAAAATATGTCATGTCTATCGATTATTATTCAATATTTCGACATTTATTGTATACTTATTGATCGATGTCAATGTCTACCGATTATATAGATATTCGATATTTATTATATACTTACAGATCGATGTCGACGTCGTTGTATTTCTAATATCGATCATCCCTAATTTCAAAGACGTGTAGATATTCAATTAATTTTCGCTTGCCAACACTCAACTTATAACAGATTAGATGGCAAAATATAGATCCTGCGTTACTGTTCTCTGTTTCGCTAACTAACCTGTTATAAAACAATATTTACGTATTGTATAAGCAAGCGTAATTATCGCGTAAATATAATTTATACTATAAATATTTAAACATATTATTATAAAGATTTAATTTTAATTATTATTGAAAATGTAGTTATTGTTTAGAATAATACCAATAATATGTTTGTTTTATTTTATATTTCATATCAATAAGCTAATTAGGTAAATAATAAGATTAAGAATGTATTATAAACAAATCAGACATTATAGTGATCGAATGCAGTATTGTATAATAATATACTTATACTTAAATTATTTTAAAGCTAAATCTATCTTCCACGTATTGTCCCTAGTATGATTTCCATTTCACTTTCCATTTTAGTTGGTGCTGCCAAAATTAGTAATATATGTACTATTCAATTAAATTAATAATTTATCATTAATTTAACTAAATGTTACATTTAATTAAATTAATAATTTATCATTAATTTAATTGAATAGTACATTTAATTAAATTAATAATTTCTCATTAATTTAATTTAAATTCTATATAATTATTAACTGATACTTAATCATATACATTGAGTATAATAACATATATAATCGAAATAAGATTATTTGTATAAGATCTGCCTATTTCAATATATCAATAGGTACAATTATCTAATTCATATATATAATCAAATTTACATATGAATATTATGTACTTAAATGTATTAATTGCAAATGTAACCAGTCACAAAATATATTATAGTATAATTGGGTCCACAGCTTTGATTTGGAACGAATTAGAAATAGTGATTGTTTTGCAGAATTAAAATATAGTGGAGTTAGTGTAGACGAGTGAATCAACTAATACTTTAGATCAAGGATAGACAGCTAAAAACAGGGCAATTGTAGGGATATCGCAATGTTCATGTTTTATAATAATTTAACCAATTTCACATAACTATATTAATAACAAAATACAATTTTATGTTTATTAATAAAAGAAATTATACCTGATAACATATAAGTGGTTAAAGAGAACACGAAAGATGAAATAACGTGTGATGTCAAAATTATATTGACTCTAACAACGAATGAAAGTGTCACTTTTAAAGAAATCATTCGTTATTGTAATAGAACGACTTGTGAATAATAATCAGAATTAATAACACTTGCCATCAGGCGAGCAGTAAGCTCGTTTGTCTTCTATGCTATAAAAAAACTAATTATTAAATAATAAAATAGTCTTCATTATTAAATA